ACTTTTCATCTGTTCATAGATGAAAAGAAGGGGGTGGCAAAAGGAATCCTAACTCAGACTCTGGGGCCCTGGAATAGGCTGGTGGCATATCTGTCAGAAAAATTGGACCTGGTTGCTGCTGGGTGGCCACCATGTTTGCGAATTATAGCAGCCATGGCTCTTCTAGTCAAGGATGCGGACAAATTAACCTTAGGACAAGAATTATGTATCACAACCCCTCATGCCATCGAGGGAGTTCTCAAGCAGCCACCTGACCGCTGGTTGAGCAATGCCTGAATGACTCACTATCAAAGCTTGCTTCTTAATCACCCAAGGATTCATTTCCTCCTGAGCACAGCCCTCAATCTGGCCACCCTGCTGCCTGATCCAGACCTGGACACACCCTTGCATGATTGCGTGGGGATCTTGAGCCACACACACAGGCTCAGAAAAGACCTGACTGATCAGCCACTTCCTGATGCAGAAGCCACTTGGTTTACTGATGGAAGAAATTTTGTGCAGAATGGACAGAGGTACGTGGGGACAGCAGTAGTAACAGAGACCAAAACTGTCTGGGCAGTGGCCCTACCTGCGGGGACTTCAGCCCAGAGGGCTAAGCTGATAGCCTTGACTGAGGCTCTTAAATTAGGCAAGGACATACAATTGAATGTGTATACAGACAGCCGGTATGCCTTTGCCGCAGCCCATGTACATGGGGCCATCTACCAGGAGAGGGGGCTGTTCACAGCTGAGGGAAAGACTATTAAAAATAAACAAGAGATCTTAGACCTCCTGCAAGCCCTCTGGAGCCCAACAAAACTAGCCATAATCCACTGCCTGGGTCACCAAAAAGGAAACAACTCCACCCAGAAGGGAAATAATCTGGCTGACCTCCACGATCCTGCCCATTCTTGTTGCTCCCGGAGCAAGAGAACTGCCTAAAACTCCCCACTATAGCCCCAAGGACTTAGCCTGGATACACACTCTCCCTATGACTCAATGCCTAGAGGTCTGGTGGAGGACAATGGATGGAAAAATTATCCTACCTCAGAATTTAGGCATAAGATTGCTCAAGAAAATACATCAAGCATCACACATGGGCACCCAAAGGATGCAAGACTTACTAAGAAGGGCCAAAGTTAAAATTCAGGAAGGAAATCAAGCCATTGAAAAAATTGTTAGGCATTGTCATGCCTGCCAGTTAACCAACTCAGCTCTGTCCCATGCTGACCCAGGATCCCGGAGCAGAGGGACATGACCGAGCACATATTGGGAGACTGATTTCACTGAGATCAAACAGGGAAATTTTGAATATAAATATTTACTAGTATTCATAGACACCTTCTCTGGATGGACTGAGGCCTACCCAACCAAACATGAGACTGCTCACATGGTAGCCAAGAAGCTAATCGAAGAGATCCTGCCCAGGTATAGTTTCCCAGCTACAATTGGGTCAGATAATAGGCCAGTAGCATCACACATGGGCACACGAAGGATGCAAGACTTACTAAGGAAGGCCAAAGTTAAAATTCAGGAAGGAAATCAAGCATTCGAAAAAATTGTTAGGCATTGTCATGCCTGCCAAGTAATCAACTCAGCCTCATCCCATGCTAACCCAGGATCCCAGAGCAGAGGGGCATGACCGGGTATGTATTGGGAGACTGATTTCACTGAGATCAAACAGGGAAAATTTGGTGATAAATATTTACTAGTATTCATAGACACTTTCTCTGGATGGACTGAGGCCTACCCAACCAAGCATGAGACTGCTCACGTGGTAGCCAAAAAGCTAATCGAAGAGATCCTGCCCAGGTATGGTTTCCCAATTACAATCAGATCCATTAATTGGCCAGCCTTCATCTGTCAGGTAAGCCAGGGAATAGCCACTGCACTGGGGACCAATTGGAAACTGCATTATGCATATAGACCCCAGAGTTCAGGACAGGTCAAGAAAATGAATAGGACCCTGAAAGAGACCTTAACTAAATTAGCTTTAGAGACTGGCGCAGACTGGGAGTCTCTCCTTTTCAGAGTAAGGAACACTCCATACCAGATGGGTGTGACCCCCTTTGAAATCATGCATGGAAACCCACCTCGTATGATACCTAGCCTCGAAGCTGACCTAGTATCGACCTTGGGAGACCAGGACCTACTGGACTCACTCCCATGGTTGCAGCTAACCCACCAATGGGTCTGGCCGCAACTCAAGCCATATATGAAGCTGCTGTCCCCCCGCAACCCCACAGGTTTAAACTGGGCAACTGGGTCTTCATCCATAGACAATGGTTGCAGCTAACCCACCAATGGGTCTGGCCACAACTCAGAGCCATATATGAAGCTGCTGTCCCCCCTGCAACCCCACAGGTTTAAACCGGGCAACTGGGTCTTCATCCACAGACACCAACGGAAAAAATCTCGAGCCAAGATGGAAGGGCCCCTTCATGATCCTCTTGATGACTCCCACTGCACTCAAAGTGGACGGTGTCGTGGCTTGGGTGCACTACTCCCACGCAAAACCTGCTGACCCATTTGCAGTCCCAGAGGATTACAAGGGAGACACCTGGAAGGCATCCCCACACCCTTCGAATCCATTCAAGCTCTGCATCTTACGAGACCCTTCCTGCTAACCTGTCTATTGTTGACATTGAACTGCTTATTGGCTGATGGCACCTTTCCTGCAAGTAACATAAATCCCCATATGCCCCTTAGCATGATCCCCCCAGATACCTGTGAGCTGGCCGACCAGAACCCATGATTGGGTTCCCCAGTTACAAGACAAGGGGGGAATGTAGGACCCTGAGACCCTCTTCATTCACCTGCTACCCCCAATCCCTCCAGACACCCATTAATTGCTCTTTTAGCTTCTGTAAAATGCTTGGCTCCTGCTTTAGACATGCCTAGACATGCCCTGACCCCCACCTGCTATTCCCCCCCTTCCAGGAAACTATAGATTAAGCAAGCCTGGGCATGAAAGCCCTATAAGGTAAAAACAGAGACTCCTGGCCCCACAGATAACAGTCAGCACATTCCACAGCCCTGAGAATAGCACCTACCAATAAGAAACTTCCAGGGCTGCATCACTATACCCTCGTTGGTAATAGAGGCTGCTGCTCCTGGACCCTACAGCCCCCCCTCGGCCCCTGAAACAGAGAAGTGTGCACCCATGAAGAATTTCCTCTCAGGTCTTCTTCCAGGAGGCCAGAGAGACCTGCATAGCCCTGGACCAGAGCCTCTCATCAGGTGAAGCGAAGTGGAGACCCAGAATGGACATCCAGACCAGGTAATGGGCCCCAGGTTAGACAGGTGGAAGCCAGCGAGGGCTGATCCCCCCCAGGAGGCTGCATACAAAGTCTTGATATGACTCCAAGATGGTACTGGCTGCGAGTCAGAAATGAAGGGGTGTCGCGCGCAGCCTTTGCCGAATAAGGATGACGCAACACAACGAGGATTTGTCCAGCGCAACTTTACTTGAAGCTCTCGAGTACAGATGGAGAAGGACCCCTAGCTCTGGGGACGCGCTGCTTATATAGCTCTCCCAGGGCGGTGTCCGTCTGCTATTGGATCTCTGCAGATCACCCTAGGGGCTGGGTATCTCTGATTGGAGACTATATTCAGTCTCAATTAGCATGTCGTGAGCGCATGCGTATGGATGAAGCCGAATCAGGCAAGAAGAACCAGGAAGCAGGAAACCGGCGCCATCTTGTAATGGCGGGGCGGCTCCCGACACAAGGGGCAATGGCATTACGGCATTCTTGTGTTGCTTGTTCAAAAACTAATTGCTCAATAAGAGGCATTGCAGATTCTGAATCTCCAAAAATTCTGTTTGCTGCCTCGGTCATCCTGGCCACAAAATCTGAAAATGATTCCTGTGGGCCCTGTATAATTTTGGTTAGCTGGGTTGCTCCTTCTCCCTTTTTAGTTAAAGCTTTCCATGCTCTAATTGCCGTCATGGAAACCTGTTGATAGGCTCCCCAGGCATAAGTATTTTGTTCATTTGCATATCTTCCTTGTCCTGTTAACATTTCATATGTCCATTGTTGTTGTTCAGGGGTTAAGGAGGCTGCATTGATTCGGGCTTGCTCTTGTGCAGCCTCATACCATAGCGCCTTCCACTCTAAAAATTGGCCCATGCTATTAAGCATAGCCTTTACAATAGTTTGCCAGTCAGTAGGCGTCATAGAATCTCTCGCCAGTCTGTCTAGCTGTGCTAAAGTAAAATTTGCATTCACTCCATATTTTCTTACTGCTTCAGCCAATTCTTTTATTTGATTATAGTCTATAGGTGCATAGATCCGTCCCATGCCTTCTTGCCCTTCTATGGGTGCTTCAAAGACTGGGAAGGCCATGCCTAACTTTCTCCTCACAGTTTTTGAAAGGAGTGAGCAAGATGGCTGCATTGAATAAGGTGGGGGGGCAGTAGCAGCCCCTTGCCCCAGAACATAGGGCACTGGGTTCTTATATTCCAGTGGCCTGTATCTATTTTCTTCATAATTTGCTGCTTGTTCTTCTAATTCTATCTCTTCTTCTGGGCTTAAACTGCTCTCTTCTAACTGCAGAGCAGCAAGTTCCCTTGTGGGGTATAAATACCCCTTTGGTAAATTTCTTCCCTGTCTAAAACCTGTTACTTGGTTTCTTGCTCCGTCCTTTTCGACAGTGCTCTCTCCCCTGCCTTCCTCTGGCTTACCAGGAGGTCCATTTTCACTTTGGGCCCTATTTTCTTTTGCACGTGCTCCCATCCTTTCACTTCATTCGGTTTCTGATAGGCTGTCCTGGAGATCCTCTAGAACCATTTGCCCTTCCTCCATAACTTCCTGACAGTAACCCACGTGGAGGCATAGGGTAAGAAGCAGAATTACAAAGGCTCCCATAATCAAGGCAAAAACAATTCCAATGGATCAAAGACCTCAATGTGAAACTGGAAACCCTGAAACTATTAGAAGAAAATAGTGGCAGTAACTTACAAGATATGGGTGTAGGAAAGGATTTTCTAAATTGGACAGAAGTTGCTTAGGAATTAAGGTCAGCAACAGGTAAGTTCAGATAGGACCTTATCCAGTTGATATCTCCTAATAATTTCTGGAAATCGTTCAGGGTTTTTAGGTTATCTTTTCTGATAGTTAGTTTTTGAGGTTTAATATGGTTAGGAAATATTGTGGACCCAAGAAAATTCGCCACCTCTCCTTCTTGTACCTTTTCAGGCGCTATTAGCAAACCCTTGGCCTGTAGATGGACGGACAGATCCGCAAATGCCTGATGTAAACTGTCCAAGTTGGCATGACAGAGCAAGATGTCATCCATGTAATGACAAATCCTCAAGGACTTATGCTTATCCCTGACCGGCTGAATAGCCGCTGCCACATAAAGCTGACACATAGTGGGACTGTTTGCCATGCCCTGAGGCAGAACTTTCCATTGGAATCGTTTATCTGGTTCCTCATGGTTTATGCTGGGCAAAGTAAAGGCAAACCTTTCTCTGTCTTGAATAGCTAAAGGAATGGAGAAAAAGCAATCTTTGATATCAATTATAATAATATGCCAATGAGAGGGCAGCGCTGACAGTAAAGGTAGACCTCGTTGTATCGGACCCATTATCTGCATCTGATTATTGATAGCCCTGAGGTCATGCAACAACCTCCATTTCCCTGATTTTTTCTTGATTACAAAGATGGGTGTATTCCATGGAGATTGGGAGCACTCTAGGTGCCCCAGAGTAAGTTGTTCCTGTACCAACTGCTCTGCTGCTTTAAGCTTATCGGAGGGCAAAGGCCACTGAGGAACCCATACCGGTTCCTCCGTTTTCCAGTTGATGGGGATAGCTTCCTCAGTGGCCCCTATGAAAAACCCACCCCTTTTCGATCTAGCTTTTCCTTCAGGGTGACAGGGCTGGTACGTCCCTGCAGATTTTTTCCTAATCCATGTCCTGGGACGCATCCCATGTCCCTCATCATTTGCTGACTTTGAGGAGAATAGTCATTGGTAAGTGTAAATTTTAACTGCTGCAGTAAGTCTCTTCCCCAAAGATTAATGGGAAGAGGTAAGACAAAAGGTATAAGGGTTCCTCTCTGTCCTTCATCAGTCTCCCAGTGCAAGGGTCGAGCACTCAGTGATGGAGTATCCTCATATCCGAGGCCTGTTAAAGGCTGAGAGGATCGAGTAAGAGGCCATTTGGACGGCCACCAGTGTGCAGAAATTATGCTGGTGTCAGCCCCAGTATCTAATAATCCCTGGAACCTCTTTCCTTCTATGGATAAGGCTAACATGGGACGGTCTTGTAGGCCAAGGGACAGATAAGCATGTTGGCCTCCCGAAGAACCAAAACCCTTCTCCCCTCTAGTTACTCCCGTACTGGGAAAGTCTTGATGACAGCTGGGTAAAATTAGCAACTGGGCCACTCTATCCCCGGGGGATATCGCAGATATTCCCCGTGGGGAGGAGCAGAGTATTTGAATGGTGCCCGTGTAGTCTTGGTCCACAACTCCCGGATGAACCGTGAGTCCTTTCAGGGAGGCCGATGAACGGCCAATCACTAGCCCAACAGTGCCATCTGGGAGTGGGCCAGCAAGATCTGAAAGGATTGGTTGACATCCCATGACGGGAGTTAATACTGTTCTGGTGGTGGCACGCAGGTCCAGTCCTGCGGATCCATTGGTCGCCCTCCGGACCGAGGTGTCTTCACAGACCTTTGTGACTGGGAGAGACTCGCCCCTTTCAACGCCCCATAGATTTGTCCCGGGCCCTGGGGTCGAGGGCCCCTGTTCCCGTTTTTTGGCTGTGCAGCAGCTTGCTCTTGAAGGGGCTTCCCCTGGATATCTTTTACCGACCTGCATTCCCTCGCCCAATGTCTTCCCTTTCTGCATCTAGGACAGAGTCCTGGAGTCTTCCCTGGCCGGCCCGAGAAGGGCATTGCTGGCCCTCGACAGTCCTTTTTCATATGTCCCTTCCTGCCACATCTATAACATTTAAGTTCTGCAGCGTGCTGCGCCGCAAGGACCGCAGCTGCAAGACCCTGATTGGACAATGGCCCGCCTATTTCTCTGCATGCCTTCATCCATGCAGTGATACCCTTTCCTTTCCATGGGGTGATAGCAGCTCTACATTCTCTTGTGCTATTCTCAAAAATAAGTTGTTCTATAAGCGGCATGGCTCCCTCTGCATCATCAAAAATCCGACCTGCAGCCTGCATCATTCTCGCGACAAAGTCAGAGAAAGGCTCCGTAGGCCCCTGTATAATCTTAGTAAGATTCCCAGCAACCTGGCCCTTGTTGGGGAGGCTTTTCCAGGCCTTCACCGCAGCGTCATTGATCTGCTGATAGACTTCGACAGGGTACCCATTCTGATTATTAACAAATTGGCCCTGCCCCGTGAGCATGTCATAAGTCCAATGCGGTCGCTGATTATTGGCGTTCCGCTTTGCCTGTGTCATACATAAGTCTTGATATATGGACTTCCAGTCTAGATACTGTCCTGCCGTGAGGCAAGCTTTTATTGTGCTGTACCAGTCCTCAGGGGTCATGGCATCAGTGGCCAGTCTTTCTATTAGAGCTGTAGTGAACGAGGCGCTCACCCCGTAAGTCTGTACAGCCTCCACTAAAGTTTTCAACTTTTTTAAATCCAGAGGTGAATGGCCTCGCTGATTGTTGGCATCTTGCCACACAGGGAATGCTTGAGGGTAGGCATCATTTAGTTTCCTACGCTCCCTGGCTGACAGAAAAGTCGTCTTTCCCCCTCCGGGCGTGGGCCCGAAGACTTCCGCATACGGAGGTGCCGATGGCACCCCATGACCAGGGCTCCACCCCAAGGAATAGGGCGGCGTGGGGCCTTTACCGGCCCCCTTCCGGGTCTGAATTTCCTCTTGTGACTCAGAGGATTCATCGGAGTCCTCATGGGACTCTCTCTTCCCCTCTTCCTCCTCCTCCTCATCTGAAGAGGAGTCAAGGGTGAAATGCTTGAATTCATCAAGGAGTGGATAGATTCCTGTCCCCCCTATCGCTCCCTCCCGGGAGGGTGGTCTAGGTTTCTGTGCACATCTTGGGGGTAATGATAAGGCATTCTGGCTTTTACTTTTATCTTTCCTTTTTGGTTTCTGTATTTGGGACTTGTCTCCTTCTGTCCCTTCACCCCTTTCAGCTTCTGATAAACTATCCTGATGATCTATGAGTACTTTCTGCCCTTCCTTGATCTTCTCTCTGCACTTTTCATCCCCGATGCATGACTTGAGTAGTTTGTAAATCGGCCATGCACCCGCACGTAGCGTGCCTGCCTCTCGTTCCCTCGCTAAGTCTTTGCCCAGTTTGTTCCAAGAACCTTCGGTCAAGGAGCCTGAAACCATGAACCAAGGAGCCACACGATCCACCTCTTTCAGGAAGTTCCGCAGCACCCGGTCAGGGACCCTGAGGTCCTTCTGCTTAAGCAGCGCCTGCGCCGCTTCTACGAGAGTTTTACTGGGAGTATGGCCCATAACTCCTTTATCTACAGGAGGGGCTCTGGCTGCTCGGTTATCTATCCGAGCCTTAGCGCCGGTCCAATTAAGATCACAAAAGGGAGAAGTACAAACCTTACCCCGTTTCCCACAATTACAGAACAGACAACAACATAAGACGAAAACGAAACTAACAAAGAGAAACGGGACTACGTAGATCACAGGGAACATACCTTGCTGAAAGGTCTCCGGAGTTCTCCGCGCTGGCTTGAATCCTTCACCGACGAGCAGTCGGGGCCCTTCGTGTGGCTTCTCTGCCCAGGTTCGGCCTGTCCCGGGTTTCGACACCATTTGTCGCGCGCAGCCTTTGCCGAATAAGGATGACGCAACACAACGAGGATTTGTCCAGCGCAACTTTACTTGAAGCTCTCGAGTACAGATGGAGAAGGACCCCTAGCTCTGGGGACGCGCTGCTTATATAGCTCTCCCAGGGCGGTGTCCGTCTGCTATTGGATCTCTGCAGATCACCCTAGGGGCTGGGTATCTCTGATTGGAGACTATATTCAGTCTCAATTAGCATGTCGTGAGCGCATGCGTATGGATGAAGCCGAATCAGGCAAGAAGAACCAGGAAGCAGGAAACCGGCGCCATCTTGTAATGGCGGGGCGGCTCCCGACAAAGGGGTCCACAAATAAACCTCAACGTGATTCTGAGGTGATGGCCCAATTTAAGGTAAAACAGGAATCAGGAATTGGGCAGCAAACTGGGCCACAACTAAACCTTGACATGATTCCAAGGTCCTGGCCCTGTTTTAGGCAGAACAGGAATTCTGTGGGACTAACTAGGGAACAACTGTCTTAAACTCTGAATGAGTGTACGTGAATGTGAGAGTGAAAGTTATGGTTCCAAGGCTCTTTGAGGCTATGGAATCTGACTGGGCCTCACTCTGAGGTTCTGCTGAGGTCATGTAACCTAAATGGGCACTAAACTGCAGGTGACTGAGTACAGGGATTATACATGTGGCCCTAAGGTAAGGCCTCTTAAGTCACCAAGAGGTGGCTGACCAGGAAGGCATCTGAATGAGGGAGGCTAGCACTCTCCACCCCCTCCTATGCACACATTACATACATCCCAGGCACATATAAAATTTCAGATGGGTTCCTCCCAGTCCAGGTGTCAGACCCAGCCTGTTCTCCAGGTGATGCTAGATCACTTTAAACGAGGCTATGCAGGAAATTATGGCATTAAGATAAAACCCTCCAAGTTAAAACTTAATGTTTTAACTCAACATTGAAGTTGAGTGACTTAGTATCAGGTCATGCTGAGTAAGAATCCCTGAGTCTGGATGTAGACTACCTGAACCCTAAAACCCAGCTTCATACTTGCCAGAGAGGAGGGAGAACTTCCCCATAGCTATGAGAAGATTATGGAGGAAGTGTTCGCCTCCTGTCCAGATTTTAAAGATGAGTGCCTACATGCAAAGGACCACCCTAATCAAACTTCTTGATTTTTGTGTTTTGGGTACACCTAGTTTTCATGGAATTATAGCATGCGTGTCTATGATAGTCGTTTTCCATGTGTTTGAGATTTCATGTAATTATGTCATGTATGTCTACAAATTTCTCATGTGTTGAGATCTCATGTAATTCTGTCATGTATATCTATGGTCATTGTCTTCATATGTTGTTTCCATTAAAATAAACTGGCCACTTCAGTTATTCTTTTCATTCTTTTATTGTGCACAAAATTAATTGGTTTTATTTTTGCTTTATTTTGGCATGCTTAATTAAAATACACATGCAGATTTATAAATATGGATATTTTGATTAGTACATTCAAAGGCCTTATAAATTTGGGTACCCTTAACATCTTTAAATTTATTGGACAATGTCTCTAGGTCTATTACATGTTTCACAAAACTTTTAAGTGCTACTTGTTTATACAAAACAGTATCTGAAGTCAGGTGTGGTGGTGCATGCCTTTAATCCCAGGACTCACAAAGCAGAGGCAGGCAGATCTCAGTGAGTTCAAGGCCAGCCTGGAGCTAGGGGGAGACCCTGTCTCAAAAAGAAAAAAAATCAGTATCTGAGCTGGTTGTTTAAGGACCTTATTTGTTACATACCTTTTGGTTTGGGTTTGTTTTCATAGGGTTTGTTTTAAGGTATCTCTTTGGTTTGCTTGCTTTGGAAGTATTTTGGTTTTGACATTCTCAGTCTGATTTGTGTTGCTTTCAGACCTCTGAAGGCCTGAAAATGGTTTGAGAAAATTAAACTCCAGTTGGTTGTGTTTGATTTAATATGTTAACTCATCTTTGGAGCTGGAGATGAATTCTGGGACTGGTTTTCCTATCTCATCCATTTGGCCTTGTTCTTTGATCTCTGTTTCCTGCAGCATGGCTCTGTATGCAGGCAGATATGGCCTGTTTGGGGTAGTGGCGCATTTTGGCCCTGGAAATTGCTGGCTTAGATATGGCTCTCTGCTTTTCTCTCTTGGAGAAACTCTTGGCTTTAACTCTCATGTTTAACTCTGCATTAATCTGCCTTTATACTAGCTATTCCTAAAACTCCCATCAACAATTGAAATCGGGAATCTTAGTTTGGCTTCACTAGAGGTCTCTGATACCTGGAAGAGCTCTGTCAGGTATTAGGGTTTCAAACAGCAGCAGCTCCCCCCGACTCCCCAACAGGGACCTATGGACTTTTGAAGCCTGAAAAAGGGAACTGAGCTGATAAGCACCTTGGCCTTTGAAGTCAAGGGAAACAGACTATGCTAAGAAGCAGCCTGCCTTTCCTCTGATCTCCAAAGACAAGATAAGCAGATTCTATCTGTTAACCAGAGATTTTAGGAGCTGTTTAGCACAGCAGCTTTTCCCTTATCTTAAGAAGACAAAAAGTAAACAGACCTAGATCCTGGCTGACAGACAGAACTGAGCCAGGTTTGCAAGCCCTGCTTTTCCTGCTTCCCCCTGCTTGATTTTTCCCCAAAACTCCACTCCCCTGCACCCTGAAGCCCCCATATATAAGTCCCAGGTCACAACCCATGGGCTGATTTTTTTCCCTTCCTCAAGGGAAACATGTCCCGTGCGAAATAAAGCTCTATCCCGTGGAGAGTTCTATCTGTACCTCGGTGCCTCAGCCTCTATTCACTCGCTCTCTGCCAAAATTTTTACCTATCACCAGGCTCCTGGAGATGGCAACATGGCAGTGGTGCTTTTGTTTCTCTGGCTAGAGGACACCTGGGTTAGACACGGTAGCACATGGCTTCTTCTGGGGTACCTTGAAAGAACTGATCCCCAAGATGGCCTGAGCCAGTCTCTTGCCTCCAGAACGGCCTGAGACAAAATGGGACTACAATGTGTTCAGAATAACTATAAATATCTATAAATGATAGATATTATTATGTTTATCTTGTAAAAATTACCATGTACTTTTAGTCTTACTCCGAAGAACCTCTACACATCTCTGAGAATTAACTCAGAATTAACTGTTCTCTACAGTGTGTCTTCTTAGATGCTGGGCAGTGATTTGGGGTTTGTTTCCTTCTCAGTCTTCCTCCCTCTCTTCTTCCTCATAGGAAGCAAAGGACCTCCCTGAGCCTGAGCTGTTGCTGTCACAGACCCGCTAGCCCTGCAGACTAGGCATGCTGGCTCCTGACCCTGTATGCTGTGCTCTTGTGCTTTCATCTCTCATTCTTTCTAAGTTCCTGCGTGCTACTGTAGGAAAGCGTTAACTATAGACAACTGTAATTGAATCACACTCATGAAAATTATTTTTTTATACTCTATGCTTTTGGTATTGTTAATATTAAATGGTCTTTAATAATAGATTGATTCTGTATTGCCTTATTAAGACTAAGTACTTCTTGTCATCCCATTCTTTACCTTCTTCCATGGAATTGTCTTTAATGGAAACTGTTTAAACATTATCTTGTTTTAATCATACTGTAACTTCTGGCTATGGTTAGCTTTGAGTGCAAATGAAAATTCTGTTTTTCATCACTTGTTGAGTCTGAAACCCAGTTAGAAATGTTTACCGTATTAAAATATAAACAATAGTTCTGAAAATGCTTTTAAGTGAAAGCCCTTATGTCTAACATCAGTGTGTATGGCTTTGTACATCACAGCCGTTTTGAGATGAGATTCTCGTGTGTGTGTGTGTGTGTGTGTGTGTGTGTGTGTGTGGATGAATATGCACAGTACTGCTGGTTTTAAGAGTTTATTTTCTATACATCTGATCAGAATTTCATCAAGGTAATTGGTCTTGGTTTGTTGAGACATTGTGTCTAACTACAGTATTTGTTGTATGAGACTGTTGTGAATGTATGGACTTATGTTATTAATACTAAGGTGTTGGGGACCCCTGTTGTGTAAAGTAGCAGTCTCTCCATGTCCGGATAGCCTATGGGCTCGGCTTCATATGCAGAGACTCCTTTTATCAGCAGGGTGCCTTCCCAGCACCTTCCTGACTCATCTTTGAAGTAGCCGTCACAGAAACATGGCCTCCGGCTCTGAAACTGCCAGGTTTTCCTGTGTGATTTTCAGGCAGTCTGACAGCCTGGCAGGAGCCCACTACCATATGTAAATAGGGCATCCCACAAAGTACCTATCAGCTAAGGCTTTTACCACTACCCCCACAGTATAAAGTATCCTGGTTTTCCCTCAACAATCGAAGCTGGATCACTAAGGCCTGGAGCCGAGCTGAGTCACTGAATAAAGGAGCTGTACCACTGACTGAGCTGAGTTCTGTGTCTTACTGGCTACGATCCAGCCTTCCCGGAGAGGGCTGTCTCTTCGTACGCCACGACTCACAGAAACCCAGCTTTCGCCGTCTCAGCACCTTCCCACGTGATCCGGCAGCTGACGGATCTTGTATCTCGAGGAAGTGCATGGTGGATTGGGACCTGGTAGCAGAGAGCCTCAACAACGCGGAGAAGCAGGGACCCGCCTGGGAGTGCAGCAATCAGTAGAGTCGCCAGCACTCAGTAGTCGCGGAGACACGCGTGCACCCCAGCAATGCAGCCCGCGGGAGACTGGCACCACGCCCAGCAGCTGGCGCCCCGAGATCCCTGCACGCCCATACTAAGGGAACTGTCATTAAATAATAATTTACTAGATATCAAATTGACTTGTAAGTAAGTTAATTACAATATGGTTCCTTTTAAAGAATATGAATTAATTTTTAGAAATGATTGCTTCTGCTCCAGGGTACAATTTATCCCTGTGTTCAGATATGTTTTATATAAAATAAATGTTTTCCAAGTCTATGTAAAACATCTCTAAATCTTTAAAGGAGACTTGGTCATTTAAACTCTGCTTCAAGACTTACAAGAACATCTCAAAGTTTATACATTATAATAATGCATTTAAAGTAATTGTTTACCTCACTATATATGAGGTAAAATATTAACTGCTTGGTAAATTCATTTATAAATGTTATTAAAAGGGTTTATTAAAGTCTGAACAAGGTTATAGCACAGTTTTCCTTAAGTGATTATGCTGGAGGTTGTGTACCAACTGCTCTTTACCTTGTGTTTATATACCTTCTTTGATAGATCAATCTCTGAACTACACAAAGTAAAACATTTGAATGGTCTTATGTTTACTATAAGGTCTACCTGGGAACTTAAACAACAATGTGTACACGGGTAATGTTAACTCATTATATTATCTTAATA